TCTAAGTTGACAAGATCCTAGTCATTTATTGATAATGCTTGTTATGACTGACATTTATTGGATGCCTATTCTACCTACATTATAACTCATCTGAACCTCAATTTCCTCATCTGTACAATAGGTACAATGCTAGTAACTACTTCAGGACTAAGGTATAGATTAAATAAGATAATTTAACACCCTAACACATTTAGTGAGCACTCAGTGTTGTAATCATAGCCATTACATTATTACATTTAATTCTTACTGCCCTGTGAAATACATGGTATATCATCCTTATTTGACAGATGAAGCATCTTGGCCTTAGGTCACCAGCTAATAATTGAGGGTTAGTATTCAATCTGAAACTAATACTCTATCTTCTATGGACCCCTTATGGGATGATTGTATCATATAGCCACATCAGAGGTATAGATTAGTAATTTTGGTACCCTGGGAAGAATCAGTCCAAGTCAGCAACCATTAAGTATTTGTTATTCATCAGGCACTATACTAGCTGTTGTGGCTGACAAGTGCACAAGAATTTCTCAGAATTACAGGTTGAACATCCCTAATCTGAAAATCCAAAATCTGGAATGTCCCCAAATCAAAAACTTTTTGAACATTAACCTGATGCTACAAGTGGAAAATTCCACACCTGACCTCATGTGGCAGATCCTAGTCAAAAGGCAGGTGCACTAAAAACATTATATAAAATGACCGTTAAGATACATGTGTGAGATATATATGCAACAAGTGAATTTTGTGTTTAGACTTGGGCCTCATCTCCAAGATAACCTCATTACATATATGAAATATTCCAAAATCCAAAATCTAAAACACTTCTGATCCCAAGCATTTTGGATAAGGGATGTTCAACTTGGCAATTCACAATATTAACCTCTAGTCCTACTCTTTCCTGGTACAATTTCCTTGATGTTCCCAGTCCTGTTTTAGGGCTGGGTGGCTTCCTTCATCTCTGCCACAACCATATCCTCCATTTGTCCTCTACTTGCCCTCCCTGGGCAGGGCCTCAGGACCAGCCCATTGCTTAGTTCTACCGAGTCTGATTGCCTTGAATCTTCCTAGGCTCATGCCATCCGCCTTCATCATCTGTCATGTCAGTGGCCACACATGTCTCAGGTGCACATGACTGTACTGACTTAGCCCATCAGCAGGGAGGCTGCACATATGATTTCACACTGTAGCAGAGCCTGCTCCCTCCTTATGCTGAGAGTCTCGTAAGGACGGGGACCAAATCTCTTACTCCATAACTCCTGCTCTACCACTACAGGAAACAATGCCTGTACCTTCTAAAGAAGGAAGTGGTGTGGCCTCCCTAACCTGGGGAAGATGCCAATTAGGGCATCAGGCAAGATTCCAAATGGGTGGGTAAAGCCAGAGGCTCCTAAGAACACCAGAGGAAGACTAAGTACTGTGTTCATTGGAATAACACCTTTTGCTTTTCAAAGTATTCTTGTGTATTCTGTGGGCATGAGCCTCTGCTGCACTATGCCTGCTCCTGCAACCCATGCATATGGGGGTCTGATTTACCTTTGATCATGGTGGAACTGAATATAGAGGTTATGTAGAGGTCAGTGGGAATAGCATAACTAGTTCTTATTCTTATTTGCCCTTTAGACCAAGCCAGTGGTGGAAGCATTGACTGGTCCTATGACTCTGGCATCAAATACTCATTTGCCTTTGAACTGAGAGACACAGGCCGCTATGGTTTCCTCCTGCCGGCCAAGCAGATCTTGCCCACAGCTGAAGAGACCTGGCTTGGCTTGAAGACAATCATGGAGCACGTGCGAGACCACCCATATTAGGGAATTGTGGAATAGACAAACACCATTAAAATCTCTTTGGTTTAAAGCAAAATTGGGTTGTGACCATTCCTTTTTCTAATACTAATGTAGGTGCTTCATTTCTTCAATTTCTTTCTTTCTTTTTTCTTTTCTTTTTTGCAGGCCTGGGGGTCAAACCCAGGGCCTTGCACATGCTAGGCAAGTGCTGTACCAGTGGCCACATCCTCAGTACCCATTTCTTCAGTTTTCTCTGCCCTAAAACATAGCAATCCACTACACTGTAAGCACCTTGCCTTTGTCTTTTTCTTTAATTTGTCCTAAGAGAAATCTTCCAAACATCCTTGAAGTTTTTTTAATTAGTTATATATAACATAAAATTTAGTAGTTGTTATTATTATTATTTAAATGTTTTTATTAGTTATTGATGGACCATTATTTAGTTCTTTGTTTTATGTAGTGCTGAAAATCGAACCCAGTGCCTCACACATGCTAGCCAAGCACTCTACCACTGAGTCACAACCCCAGCCCCTGATTATTATTTTTTTTTAAATATTTTTTTTAGTTGTAGGTGGACACAGTACCTTTTAATTTTATTTATGTGGTACTGAGAATCGAACCCAGGGCCTCACACATGCAAGATAAGTGCTCTACTGCTGAGCCCCAGCCCCAAGTTTTGATTATTTTTAAGGGTACAATTCTGTGGCACTAAGTACATTTACAATATTATTCCACTGTCACTGCCATCCATCTCCAGAAATTTTTTATTATCCCAGACTGAAGCTCTGTTCTCCTTAAACGGTGGCTCCCCGTTAGCCTCTCTCTTCAGCCCTTCATGACCATTATTTTACTTTCTGTCTTTATAAATTTGTCTATTCTAGGAATCTCCTCACATTCAGTTTGTAAGGACAAATCACAGTATTTTTCCTCATGTGTCTGTCTTATTTCACTTAACACTAAGTTTTTAAGGTTCATCTGTGTCTTAGCATGCATCAACCCCTCATTTCAGAGCTAGCAGCAGACTTTAGAGCTCAGTTTTTCAACAAATACTAATTAAGCAACTACAAAATGCCAGGCATCGTGCTAGGTGCATGTACATTCCCATTTCTGGCATGCTGTTTTATAAAAACCGATGGGACCCAAAGCCATGACACTCCTTTCCTTCTTTCCCATTGCCCCATCAAGTTTGGGTCTCAACTTCCACACAATTTCTTTTCAGATATTCACTTCCATTAGGGTTTTAGAGTTTCTTCATACTGATGGTTTTCCCTGGGAGACAAAAGTGGGAAATAAATTTCAGCTTGCCTGGTTAAAATTTTTTTTTTTTCAATTGTAGATGGACAGAAGACTTTTATTTATTTATTTATTCATTCATTCATTTATATGTGATGCTAAGGATGGAACCCAGTGCCTCATACATGCTAGGCAAACACTCTGCCACTGAGCTACAGCCCCAATCCCTCAGTTTCTCTTGTTACTAACTTCAAAGCTGAAATCTACCTTGGTGAAGTACAGCCCAGCCTCTGTTGTGGACTCAGTGGGTTAGGGAATTTAATTAGGTGTTAGGAGGACACAACAGCCCTGAGATAGGTAAAGAAGATAGAAGCCCTCAGTTCCACAACTCCTGATGGAGGCTCTCTCTTGGACTATGCTTTAGAATTGATGTCTTTTTAAAAAAATATTTTTAGTTGTAGATGGACACAGTACCTTTATTTTATTTATTTATTTTTATGTGGTGCTGAGGATTGAACTCAGTGCCTCACATGTGCTAGACAAGCACTTTACCACTGAACCCCAACCCCAACTCTTGATGTCCTCTTTTTTGACTAGGTTTGTTCTTGGGCCCTGTCAGAGCCAGTCTTAGCAAAGACCTTGCTAAGTCATCCCCTCACTTTGATATCTGATCAAGTTATTCATCCCGCACTATTGATGTATAAGTCTGTGGCCTAGGCGCCTTTAGCATGACTCTTGTTAGGCCACTTTCGAAAGAATCCCCCTGACTTGATGTTTCCTCTTAGTGATTTCCCATCTGCTGATCCCTTCATTCCGCTGTCTTTGGACTTAAGCACAGTTAGACTTTCCTATTGCAATATTCATGATCTCCACAGCAAAAATCTTGAATAAAGCTTTCTTTACCTTTTTAACAAGGGTCAGAATAATTTCCCAACCATGACTCTTGGTTATATCCACTACCTTTGGGCAGATGCAGAAAGAATCTAGCCCATGGGGATGGTGGGATTGGGAAGGCTTTGGGAAATTAGGAATGTAGGTACAGACCCAAAGGCCCCGGAGCCCATGAAGAAGTCATTCAGATGATGAGTGCCTTCCGTTTATTCCATTGAGACTTGAAAGAAAGGATACCAGAGTCAAAGACTAGCAAAACCTAAGAAAGTTTTATTTTATTTTATTTTATTTTGAGAGAGAGAGAGAGAGAGAGAGAATTTTTTAATATTTTATTTTTTTTAGTTTTCGGTGGACACAACATCTTTTTATTTTATTTTTATGTGGTGCTGAGGATCGAACCCAGCGCCGTGCATGCCAGGTGAGTGCGCTACTGCTTGAGCCAGATCCCCAGCCCAAGAAAGTTTTATTATTAATAATTTTATCAAACCTTACCTGTTGTTCAGATCCCAAGGGAAAATGATAATTTATTCAGATTAATACTTCCTTTCTATAGCATTGACCGTATATCTTTCTATTTTCTCAGGAGACTCACAAGAATTCAGCCTCAGGTCTATAAAAGAGGCCATGAACTCTTCTCATTATGACATTCTCTGGTGAACATTTTCTGAAAGGACTTGTCAAGTGTGGTCTCAGAACTGGCCTGGGTCACTTGATTTTCTTCACTTTTTAACTCTAGAGGCAATTCCATCCAGGTTGACATCTGGACTCTCTTGTCAGTATAAATTCTAACCACTTCCGTGGGACTTTTCTATTTACTCAAAAATGCTCTTTAGATGCCAAGCGATGAGCAATATGGCACCCTTGGCCCAGACTTTTCCAGCCCGTGGAGCAAGTTTCTGACCTTGTAAATGAAGAGGCTCTGCCCTTTATCACTCGAAAGGAATGGAGGAGGCATTGGTAGGAACCCGCCTGCCACACAGTCAGAGTTGCAGGGGTGCTTGGGAATCACATTAGCATTTTTGAGGATGTGAGTCTGCCCTGGGTTCCTTATAAATACAGCCTGACTCAACTACTATGTGACTGTCACTTTGGGACATGAGGTGGATACTGTTCTTTGTGACCCTTATTGGGTCAAGCATGTGTGGCCGAGAAAAATTTTTTGGGTAAGTTCCTTTTGGACTTCTTATTATATTTTTTTTTCAGCAATATGAGGGCCAAATGGAATTGAAAAGGAATAGCTTGTCATTTACCTCAAGAGGAAGGGGATTAGGACAATCTGAGGCCTGATTTCTTCTGAAATCAGAACTACTGGGCTCCACAGTCCCTCTCCAGCTCCCTAATCTGATAATTCCTTTTCTTTCTGCTTCTTATTTGTAAGGTCAGTTTCAGGCATCCCCTATTTTCTTATTCCTACACCATTATTGTTGTTGTTATTAGTATTTTTATCATTCTGGTATAGGAACTGAACCAGAGGGGCTTAACCACTGAGCAACATCCCCAGCCCTTTTATTTTTTTTTTATTTTGAGGCAGAGTCTGGCTAAGTTCCTTAGCCAGGAACTAAGTTGCTGAGGCTAGTTTTGAACTCACAATCCTCCTGCTTCAGCCTCCTGAGCTACTGGATTACAGGTGTGAGCCGCCGCACCCAGCATTCCTACACTATTAATTACAAAGAATGACCAGAAATTGTTTGTTTCTGATTTCCACCACACTTAAAGAGGAAACCTGGGTCTTAGTCTTTTTGGTCTCACTTCTCTGTTTACAGTGAAGACTTTGTAGAGCCGGTGCTCCTGGCACAGCTATGGAAATTGACATGCAGGGACCCACACCTGTACGATGTGTGTGAGTTTTTGTGTGCACATATGCTCAACATGCTCCACACACAACGCTTGGAGGTTTGCAGAGAGGAGATTTGGGAGGTAGGAGAGATGAAAGAGATGCCGTGGGGCCCTGCTAGAAGATTGCCTTATAATAACTCATTACTGCAAAAAGCTTTGCCATTTCCAAAGAGCTTTCATGTACATTATCTTTTGGATCATGCAACAACTCTGCCAGGCAGGGGTGTTATTTTCCTCCATTTAAACATGAAAAACCTCAGCCTTAGAAAGGTTAAGGAACCCGCCCAAGGCCACTTAGCTGGTAAGCAGGGGAGCTGGAACTCGGCATGCAAAACCCATACCCTTTTTCCTATAACATAAGTTAATCTCCAAATAGAATCCTCTATCTCACTGGTCTATCTATAACTATTAGTTTACTTTCTATTATACTACCTGGTTAAAGAGACTTTGGGGTTGTTTATTGAAGCAATTACTTATATGAGATTGAGTAATTTTTATGACTCTGTTGATACCTGTGTCTCTACTGCTAAATAGCTTGGGGGTTAGGCGTAGCAGGTGGCCAGGGAAGGCGATTTTTCCACAGGCAGCTCAGCAGTAGATGTGTCATTACTACACCTGCTGCTGTGTGGGCTGACGCATGGAGCTGTCAGGTTCCCACTGCAGCTATTCGTGTGGCTGGAAAATCTCTATTTCTCAGGATATATTCCTTCTTATGGTGCAGTGAGCACCCGGGCTAAGACAGCGGGGCCTAGACTGCTCACAGCAGGAGTTTTGCACAGAGAGAGCTGTGTACCTGAGCTGATTGCAGATGGTTTTAACCAATAGCTGATTGCAGATGGTTTTAACTATTGTGTTATCTATTGGTTAAAACGCCAAAGTCTCACTCCATAGTAAGTAATCCAGAAAAGGAGCAGCAGTCCTTCCTAGGGTCCATTGACATGTCCTGGTCATCCAGCTCAATGAACATTTAGAGCATAGGCAAGCTGGTCTCCAAGCATTTGTAATTAGAAGCCAGGACGGAGACTGCCTGCTAGGGATGAGGATGATGGTTTCTCCCCACCACCCATCTTCTTCCCTTTCACTTGGTTCTCCTACCCACCAGTCTCTCTTGCACTGCTGGTACCTTCTGTCCTGGTCTTTGGTCATCTTAAGTTTGGGACAATGGCCAGGCGGCTGGGAGGTGTGGGCAGGGACAGAACAGGAAGTAGTTGCAGAACTGGTTGTAGTTTCAGCAGTAGCTCACAGTCCTCTTGAGAGTTTTGGGAAATCATGTCTATATTGTTCATGGTGGCTGCTAAGCCTGGCTAGGGACATTGATGAGAGATACACAAAGAATAAGCCACTCGACTGCCTGTATTGACTGTCCTGAACTTGGGACAAGTGTGAGGGTAAGTGGCAGGGCATCCTCAATCTGGTGTTGGTAGCAGCTGGATGGTCCTGGGTATTGTAAGAGGGATCAGAGCACCAGTATGGAGGAGGAGTGGACCCAGCAACCTGCAAACTCCAACATGTCCCCTCTCCCAGGCAAATCTTCCATCTCCAGAAAGAGCTCGCAGTCAAGGTTGAATGAACGTCCAGGTAATGGAGGATTCAACCATCTGCATTCTCATGACCTGGAGTGAACATTATCTTTGTCCATAGACAGGATAATGAGAGCAAGAATGACTGTCCTTTGTACGGCACACACTCTGATTTTAGGTATCGATGCACTGATGTTCATAAAGATAATGTTAAATCCTAATATTACTGCCAATTTCTAGCACTGTCTGAAGACTATACCTAACTTTGCCTCCTCTGGTTAGGGAAAGCTTCATGGATAATATGAGCTGCTCTTAAAGACTAGGCAGGAGATTTCCAGAAAGATAGGAAACGGACTGTGATTGTGGGCAGAAGGAGTAATGTGTGCAAAGGCATACTAAGGCGAGAGTGACAGGTGGAGGAGATGATGATGGAATGGGATGTGGACTTGGTTCTTGTTCTTACGTCTCTCTCTGTTTTCTCTTCTCATTCCTTCTCTGTCCCCTCCTTCTTTGTGATTGCTCTAGCCAGTGTTGTTTTATAAATGCCTAGATTTTGGTCAATGTACAGGCTCTTTCTAGAATACTCACTTTTAAGATACCACTTTTTCTGGAGTGTTGGAGGTAGGTTATGAAAGAATATGAGTTCAGCAGATTAATCTTAGTCCCTTCTGATTTAAACCTGTTTCCCCTTTTCCCCTTCAAAGTTTCTTGCCTGTGTCAGAGAAATGCTGGTCTGACTCGCCATCTTCCCAGGGCTGTAGTCCAACTCTTAGCAAACCTGATGGGTTCTGTATTAGTCCATTTTCTGTTGCTATAACAAAATACTCAAAGCTAGGTAATGGGTAAAGAAAAGAGGTTTATTTGGCTCACAGTGTTGGAGGCTGAACATCCCAGATTGGGTGACCTTATTCATTCAGTCTCTGGTAGGGTCCCCCTGTCTGCATCATAGCATGGTGGATGGCATCATAGTTGGAGCATGTGTGAGAGGGAGGTCACATGACAAGACAAGAAGCCAGAGTTAGAGGCCAGGCCACTCATTGTATAGTAATTTACTGTCTTGGGGACTAACTCTGTAAGATCAGCATTAATCCCTTTGGGGTACCCAGTAAGCCCCACCTCTTAAAGCTAGCTCCTACCACCCAACCACAGGACTGTAATTGGGACCAGTTTTTGAGCACTTGCACCCTTGAGCCATATCCAAGCCTTAGCGGCTTCAGACACAGCTGCCCAGCCAGGGCTTCTCTACCAGGGCCCTCAGCAGCAGTTAGCTGCCCACCTCCAAGACCCTGTGGGGACTGGCTAGGGTGGGAGAGAAAACAAAAAAACCCCGGGCACTGACATCTTCTCCAAACTAGCTACCTGCAGTGGGTCTTGACTCCTTGGGCCTGGCCAAGACCCCCTCGAAGAGCCCCCGGAACTTTCTAGAACCATGCAAAACCCTGAGGGTCCATCCGGACTGAACTGGTTTTCTGGTGAGGGGTGGCCACGTGAGGCTGCACGTTTAGCTCCCCGTGACAGAGCCATTTACTCTGTCAACAGGTCCTTCAGCCCACAGCCCTCTCCAGCCGCTCTTCCCGCATTCACTCGTGTCAAAGGGATGACGCATGTGACAGCGTCGAGTGTGGACTCATTTGGTCCGTCACCTAGCAACGGCCTAATGGCTCCCCTGGCTCCCTGAGCAGGCCGAGAACACAAAGGCAGCTTTTCAGCCCCAGCCTTCTCCCTCCCACGCAGGACTTTGGGGCCTCTTCTCCCGCCCCTGCTGCGGAAGCTAAATAACCTATACGAAATAAGTGCAGGACAAATGACAAAGGGGGCTGTGACTGGCAGGCCCTTTTAGACCCTCTCCGACCCTGTGGGCAGCAGTAGTCCCAAGTTCAGCCTCACACCTTGAGCTCTATTCAGCTCCGTTGTGAAGCATGTGTGTGTTGGACTCTGGGACTGAGGGGAAGGCCGAGCACCCAGCCTCCCCCCTCTTCTCTAAGAGGACAACAGCCCAGCCTCCCAGGATGGAGGTTCTGCTCCCTCGTCCAGCTCTTCCCAGTCTGGAGGTTCCACCAGGGTTTCAGCCCTCACCCTGACAGTGAAGAAGTGCTTCTTTATGTCTTGAGTTAGCTTTGCATGTAACTCAGGAACATTCCTTTCTGTAAAAATATATATGTTTTTCATTATAAAGTAATATGACCACATTACAGAAAACAGATACTAGGGAAAAAAAGTAAGTCATCCATAATCCCACGACCCGAACTTGAGCGCTGTCAGCATTTGGGATATTTCCGTTGTCTGTTTTTCTTCCAGTGCATCTGCTTTTTCCATACTTGTAATCATGGCATACATACAATTTTGTGTCCTGCTCTTTCACTTAATATTTCCCTTCAAGTTATACCATGAGCACTTTTTTATATCTGCCACGTAGTCTTATTTTTAATGGCTATACATTATAACCAAAGACTAGACCATTTCCTCTCGTTCAGCCCAGTTCTGTCTGGGATAGTGGGCTGGGGTTTATTTGCCAGTTGAAAGCTCCCCATTATCTTTGGCTTTTTTTCCCCCCTCTTTCTCCAGGGACCAAGTTTTTAGGATTAATGTCAGAAATGGAGACGAGGTCAGCAAACTGACTCAACTAGTGAATTCGGACAACTTTAAGGTATGTGCTGCTTCTTAGTCCCCTTGAGTGAGTGTTTTAACTTTGGTGGGAGAGGAATCTTGTACTACTGGCAATGTTATTTTTATTCTGGAAGATTCTCCGTGTATAACCTTGTATTAGTAGACAGGCCATTTAGACAATCAAGAAAGCTGATGGGTAAGAAGAGCTATAGGTGAGAGCAGGGTGGTCCCGGAAAATAGGAGGCCTGAGTCTTGGGCTCCCTCCTCCTTGCTGCCATTGACTTACCATCTCTTGGACTCTGCCAGGTACTGTTCGCTGAGTGGTCTGATTTGATACAGTTGTGATGTGGGTGATGTTTGCCTTTGGGCAGAACTCTGCTCCTCGGGGATTACCTTCTACTGGTTCTAGAAGAATGAACTTACTGTGTGTTTTACTTGAATTGTCCTTGAATCTGGTTTTATTTCTGTTCTCTTCAGCTCAACTTTTGGAGTTCTCCCTCTACCTTGGGCCGGCCTGTGGATGTCCTGGTTCCGTCTATCAGTCTACAGCCAGTCAAATCCTTCCTGAAGTCCCAAGGCTTGGAGTACTCAGTGACAATTGATGACCTGCAGGTGGGTAGGCCATGGCCTCTCACTGGTCTTGCATAGGACCAAACGGCCAGTCCAGAATGGATCTGAGAGATTTCAAGGTCTTGTGTCATCCTTTATCATTTCAAAGATGATGAAACTGAGATAAATGGAAGTAAATCGCAGTGACTTGTTAGAGGAATAGCATTGTGGTAGACGGGGAAACAGAGAGATCTGGCCCCAGATTCCAATTTTGCTAGTGCTGTGTCTTTGAACAAGTTTTTATGCTCTCAAGCCTCCATTTCCTCATCAGTAAAATGGTAATAATGACGCTTAACTTCATGTAGTTTATTGGGAAGATTCTTTAGTTAAATGTATGCAGAGTGTCTGACAGTATCTGGCACATCACAGTAAGTAATAAGCCCCTCTCCCTTTTCTTATTTGAAGTTAGGAGCCAAGGTGGGTGTGGGGGATATTGGAGACCAGTCATAAGAAGTGCCCTTGTGAGAAGGCAAGAATGTCCCCAGTAGTCCCCAGTGGGGGGAACATCACCATGCAGCCCCACGACCTGTGTTGAACAGCAGGACTGTGTCTGGCTCATGCTCTCTCCTTCACCGAGGTGGGTTATGGACTAATTGGTGATTTGGCCCGGGAGTTTCCTGATGGCGTGAGCAGCTGTGAGCTTATTAATCATCCTCACATGTCACAGACATCTGCCAGGAACCTTCAAAGTATGAGTGGTTATAAGAATTTCTTTGTTTCTGAATGGTTTCCCAAGCTGTGCATTTCAGAGGCACTGGATACCAGATGCAGGCTGATGTCTAGAGATTTCATACTAGAGAATAACCCAGTAGCACATATGTTGCTTCCAGGGAGTAAGTGGGTTTTCAATGGGGTGACTTAAATTGGACACCGAGAAGTAAAGTTTTATAGATATTTGAAAGAAATCTGACCCCCCCACACTTTTTTTACTTTTGGTTAAAGGGCATGATAGTTCATTTTTCAAAATCATACCACACTCATCACGATGACCAGTGTACACACGCTGATGGCTTTTCTCCTGGCATTGATGTTGCGGTATTTTTGTATATCAAATGAACCAAGAACATTAGAGAATGAAGATCTTAGGTGAAAATGAACACTGGTCATTCTGTTGTCCTACTTTCTCAGAATTTATTTAAACTCCTTAGAAATTTGGCATTACCACGTTATGTAGTGATGAGGAATGCAAGTTCTTTAAGAAGTAGGCAGCTTGAACTTACACTTCCCTGTGCTTTAATCCTTACTTTGTATAATTTAAGCTATGCGATCCCCTTTTAAACCTTGACATTTGTGCTGCTTGATGTGTGGAAGGAGCCATCAACTTGGCCAGCCTCTGTACCAAGATATGGTAGGAAAAACACGATCTGTCTCCCATGGATGACTTCACCATTTTGCTGTGTCTGTTTTCAGGCCCTTTTAGATAATGAAGATGAAGAAATGCAATATAACGAAGGGCAAGAGCGGAGCAATAATACCTTCAACTATGGGGCTTACCATACTCTGGAAGCTGTAAGTATTTCAGAGCAGGTTTAAGGCCAAGATCTTCTGTTGCCTGAATTTTGTAACTTTTCTAATTTCCAGTAGGTATTAGTCTTCATCACAATATCACTTCACGGAGGGGGCTTTCATTTCCAGTCCTTGTATACTTTAATTTCTTTCCAATCTTTGGGCTGTTTAACTCCTACCAACACTGAAGAAAATGGTGAAATACAAAGTGGACCTTATTTTCCACATACATCCTTCTTTTCTTAAGCAACCGCTTATAGAAAACTATGAAATAATTGCAATCATTTCCAGTCCTTGTAATTCAACCTCCTACTCCCCCACCATAATCCCTCACCCAGAATAAAATGTTACTTATTCCAGTCAAGTAGACAAGTGGTTATTTCCAAGGTTAACCAAATATTTCCACTCATTCATCATGACTACTTATAATGTATATTTGTTCCATAATGCATTTTGGTGCTGTGTTTAGTTAGAAACCACTTTATATAGATGTCTGACTTTCAAGGTAAGCCAAACTTTCAAATGAAAAATTTGGAGCAAGATAATTTCATATGATATTGGAACCTGAGAAATCAAGAGGGACTATGGAATGGAACTGAATGAACGGTGTAGTTCTTTTATGTCCCCTGGTATCTCCTTCATTAGTCTGCAAACTCTGCCAGGAACACACCCCAAATCTAAACCGGTATTTTCCCTCATCCACCCTAATAAGGGTCATTCTTTATGTGCAAACCTGGTGTTCCTGCATGCTTTCCACGAGACAAATACTTTAAGTTGTTTTTCTTCTAGATGAGGGATTATTTCAAAGGTTGACCAGCTATTTCCACTTCTTTCCCATGATTGTCAGTAGCTTTGTTTATTGTGTATATTCCAACTACACTGCCCCTTGATCCCTCTTGTGACCAATGACATACATCTGCAAAACAGCTGGATAAAGTTAGGAGTTCAGTCTCAGGCCATGGACAAAAGTGGAGCTCAGGGCCCACACAGGGATCAAACCCATGACGTTAGCCTCATTAACGTGGGGCCCTCTCTAGCCCCGTTAACCAGTTGCAAATGTCATCCAAGGATCCAGAGGGGCCATCCCCTCACTTGCTGGAGGCCTAGGCTCCACTTTCTCAAACCACTTTGCCTCTGGTTTCTCTAGCTTTAGGTGCCCTGCAGTCTGACTTTCAGCTATTGTTCGCTCCCTGGGAGGCCTTTTGCTTCGGATAGGTTTGCCATAGCCTTCCTGTTTCAATTCTTTCAAAAAACATCTTTGCAAAGCTCACATCCTACAACCACTTAGGCTTTCTTAGGTCTCTGGTGGAATTTCACTTTTGTCTCTGTCAGGCTTTCTGGTTCCAGATCCTGTGTGTATGTCGTGGCAGTGGTTGGCTGCATGAATTTGGACCCCACATCTGGACACATCTTATTGTCGTAACTTTTCTTGGATAAATCTCTTTCCTCTCATGCCTAGGACGGCCACCCTGCTTTTCTTCTGCTCTCTGGGGGAAGAGTTTCCAAGCCCTTTATGTGATCAGATATGCCAATCTCCAGCTTGAAGTCCTAGCTCCTTGCCCCATGCTGGGTCCTAAGCCCTCTGCTTCTCTTCCTCATTGGCTGTGATCCCCCAGCACCTGAAGCCTCCTCTCCTCTCCTCCACCTTGGTATTTAATTCCCTCTTCATTTCTGGCATGTACAATTTCACCTTTGTGAGCGTTTCAACTGGCTGTGAATCACCTTCACTGTACTTTCTAGCTTGCCTGTGTGTTTCGAGGGTGGTTTCTTGCTTCTGCACAATTTAGTATATTGACTGCCACTCCATAAACCCTGTAAGCTTGTTTTGATTCAATGTTGATTGAACATTTTCCTCCTATGTATATCTCCTTCTTCCAATCTTATTGACTAAACACATTTGTATATTTCCTTCTTTCGGCCTTCAAATGATTCAAGAAAATAAAATGGATCAACTCTATTTAAAACAAATATTTTTTTCTCCCCTGAAGGCATATGGGAGTATTCTTAGCCACTATTTACAGCTCTCTATCACTTACTCTGGTGAAATCTTTAGAAAATCTTTAAATCTTTAGAGATCCAAAGTGGGGTATAGTAAGCAAGATGGCCCATTGGGATGAAGGAGAAATTATTACAACCTCTGTGACTTAAAAAAAAAATAATGCATGTAATGTATTTCTATGCTGGTACATATATGGAAATGGTGCATGCTAAATTGATTTTTGTTGTTGTTGTTGGTAGATAAAGTGATCGCGTGTTTGGGGAGGTCTGCTGTGAATAACTTTGACCAGGCAGGGCTGCTCTGACGTTCCAGACCAAGATGGCACAGAGTACCACACTTTGCAGCAGGAGCTATTAATATAAGCCTCTCCACTCTAGTTGGGTGAACTACAATTTCATGGACAAATGAAATGTGTTATTCTCTAGAAAATTGTAGAAAGCGACTCTTTGGGCAGTTCTCTCTATAAGCATTCCCGGTGGATAATATGGTCAACCCCAAGGTTAGGAGCTCAGAAAAAATCATGAAGACTGATAAGATAAAGTTGACAGATTTGTTCTCTGACAGCTAAACAAATTCTAAAAATGCCCTTGGGTGCACTTTTTCTACACTGCAGATTTACCAAGAGATGGACAACATTGCCACAGATTTCCCTGACCTGGCAAGCAGGGTGAAGATTGGACAGTCATTTGAAAACCGGCCGATGTATGTCCTGAAGGTGAGGCCCTTGTGCCCTTCAAAGGACAGTGAGGCTGGGAGATTGCTCTGGCTAAAATTTGATCTGACAGAGTCACACGTTTTTGTCTAATGTGGGCTAGGTAGAAAGAGCACATCCAGTGTTTTAAGCCTGGATATGGAGGTCATATCTTCCCTACTCCTTCGATGGGGGCTCAAGTTCCAAGTTTTGACTGAAAGAATCAAAGGGGAGAGGTTAGCATTCCAGAAAGCTCCCAGAAGGGCTGCAGCTTTGCCTTCAATCCCACCTTCTGTAAACAGCAAGATAAGTTGGTTTGGACCTACGAGTTCTAGTCTGCTTTTAGGGCTACTTATTGGAAAAGCAACCTAGGAAGCTAATTTTAGGGTGGGTATAATTTTAAGTCCAGGCTCTGATCCTTGGCTGCACGAAGCCTAGTTTCCAGATATTTCTAACAGATACAGGTCTGTATTGGCAAAGGAGGTAGAGCATTATGACAATGACATAAATTACAGAAATAATCCAATTGAATGAATAAAAAGGAATTTGGGCATATAAACCATGGAACAACTGATGGTGCTCAGAATTTGCCAAACGCTTAGCTTCATATAAGCCCAAAGAACCCAGGTTTTTAGCAAGCTATCTATCAGTGGGAAGGGAGACCTGCCACTGAGCTGGTTTCTTTAAGATAATTACAATTAGATTATTTGCCTGGTCTGATGGAGACCCTGGCTTCGTTAGCACCAAGCTCCGACCCACAGGGCCCCAACACTATGGCAAAGGCAGGAGCCAGAATTCATTACTGCCATTTACAAAGAGCCATAGTGAAGCCCTCTTCTTCCTAATTTAAAACCGAATTCATTTATTGCATCAGCAAAACAGCCTGGTTCATGCACCCTTGTGTCTCTCTCTGTTGGGATACCATTTGAGGTCTTTCAAGAGACATACTATTATCTCTAATCGCACCAGCATTCTAATCCACAATAACAATTGTTTCTCTTTTCCATTTGCTCCCAACACTGGAGAGGTTCAGGCTGCCCGGAGCTGCAGCCAACCAATTAAGCTCCCTGGTCACGGATAAGCCCAATAAATAGACGGTGCCCTCAGGAACATTTGGTCTCTGAATTATCTTAAATGAATTAAATGAATAGGAGCGAGCTGGGGAGAGGAGAGGTGAGTGGAGACGTGGGCAGGCGGGTCATTTTCTGGCCTCTTTTCCCTTCTGCAGTTCAGCACAGGAGGCGAGCAGCGACCGGCCATTTGGCTCAATGCAGGCATCCATTCCCGTGAGTGGATCTCACAGGCCACTGCCATCTGGACGGCGAGGAAGGTCATGTCGCCTGGTATTAGCCAAGGATTCTGGTGGGCCCCAGGGGCCCCTGCAGCATCTCACATAGCTGGGCCCTGGGGATGAGATAGGAAGGTGCTCTGTACACCCCAGTAGGCTGGGGACTTTTCAGATTGGAGAAGTAAATGGTTAAAACCACTTTATCGGCCCAGTTTGGCTAAGTGACAAAATGGTGGGGAGCAAGCCGATAAGCCACGAGTATGCCTGGGATTCTGACCCTCTGCAGCCCTGCAAGGGGAGCAGAGAAACACTCAGCACTAGTCAAATGAACTTTGCCTTCGGCCCCTCCAAGTCGCACAGCCCTTAGGAGGGACTTCAAGCTGCCTCCAGATCCATCCAGGAAGTCTGTTTTAAGCTTGTGTTGGTAGGCAACAGTGTTTTAAGCCTGGATGTGAAGGTCATATCTTCCCTACTCCTTCGATGGGGGCTCAAATTCTTAAGATATGGTGTGACCCCCCCTCACTCTCAGAGGGAATGAACAAAGCGAGCACCCCAGGATTCACTGCAGTTGATGTTGTCATGCAGCCATGTCCCCAGGTCTTGAGGAGCTCGGAGGGCTTTTACAGACAGCCATGCCCATGGAGACACCAAAGAAGCCTCGAGGGTGGACACTGTTCTAGAAGCATCCATTCTTGGTGGGCACTGGGCCTCTAAGGAACATACCCTATTGGACCTTAGTAATCCAGCCTGCTGAGGTGTAGCTGACAAACACCTTGTCTCTGCTTAGATTGTGTCTGATTATGGGGAGGATCCAGCTGTGACCTCCATCTTGGAGAAAGTGGATATTTTCTTGTTGCCTGTGGCCAATCCTGATGGATATGTGTACACACACACTCAAGTGAGTAACCCTGAATGGGCTGAACTTGGAGTGAAACTTAGTGAAATGAGTTCCTAGCTTTGCCAGTACCCTTAGAGAGCACTTCTACTAATGCGCGTATTATGAGCTTCCTTGGGAATTCATCTTCTAGTCATTCTCGGAGCCGAGAATCACCAGGGAATATATATTTTTTATAGAGAGAATAGTTTAAGGAACTCCCTATTATGAGCCTTGATCTATTATCAACATTTTCTCAATCTTTTATTCATCTTTTTTTCTCCCACACAATTTTTTTCTTGATGTAATTTGAAGCAAATCTCAGATATCATGTTATTTTACCCAAAACTACTTTAGTGTGCATCTCTAGGTGATGATGATAATAATAATAAAAAGCCCCAAACCCACTACACCACTGTCACCTTTAAAAAATTAATGGAAGTTCCTTAATATCATCTAACACCCCCAATTATCTTTAAAGTGTCTCTTAGGAGTCAATTTGTTGAAGTCAGAATCCAACAAGGTCTGCACGTTGCATCTACATGTCTCTGCAGTTCCTTTTATACTACATCAGCACCCCCACTCATCCTTTTAAAATGTCATTCATTTGTTGGAGAAACTAAGTAATTTCCTGTATAATGTCTCACATTCTGAATTTGGCTGATGGCTTCTTTGTTGTGCCATTTAATTTACTCCCTTATTCCCCAACCCAGAGCTTGACTAGATTCAGTGGATTCTTAAAGCAAAAATAAAATAGGCATAGGTGATCATCAAGGCATGTAACGGCCGAGCGTCCCATGTCTACTGAAGCCAATAATTATTCAGGGCATTCAGATGGCATCAACTTGGTTCTTGCATATAAAATTCTTATCAGGGGATTTTGAGGGCCATTCCTTTCTTAAAGCCAGAAGTACAAACTCCTCCTGTCGGAGGGGATGAGAGCAAACTGCCCCATAGCGAGGACTGGAGCTCCCTCAGGCCCAGCTGCAAGCAGCTCATCCCATCTACTGTGGTCATCTCCATATTAGTCTCCCAGAAGCCTTTCACTGCTTCTGTTGATTGACCTACCTCTGGGTGTTGGGTGGCTTTTTCAGAACCGATTATGGAGGAAGACACGGTCCCTGAATCCTGGAAGCCGCTGTGTTGGCACTGATCCAAATCGAAACTGGAATGCGAGTTTTGCAGGTAGGTGGGGGAACAGTTTCAGATCCCACTGCCACGGGATGAGCCTGTTCACGGGGATTCTGAGCTGGTGTTGAGGGAGCCTATTCCACTCTGGTTCCATTGTTCCATTCACTGACAGACTTAGCAGCCTCTTTGAGGGTCTCTAGGTGGATATATTCTATTTGTTTTGTTTTAAAGATTTTATTGTAATTTTGAAAAGGAATGATTGAATACATTTTGTCTTCCTGGGAGGACAGTGGGACAGAGTATCTTTGCATTGTTATTATAATTATGCCAATTTTTTTTTAATTTTTTCGTGTGCAGGGCCTGTATATGGTAAGCAGTGCTTTACCACCAGCTACAACTCCAGGCCCTACACTGACATTCTGATATTTTAAAACTACTCTCATATTAGATGTATGAATCCAAGGGAGCAATTAGCACTATTACCCTAATAGGCAAGATCATGTTGTGAAAATTAAATTCCAGCAGTTATTCTTAACATGTAATATGAACCTCAGCAGCATGCTGTTGAGAGAGAAAAGGGGAATTAGGTAACCTGGGTTCTGAGTTCCAGATTTTTAAAAACCATCCTCTACAAAATATCAAATATGTGCCAAGTACTCTCGAATATATCTTGTTTTTAACTTAGTGGGTAGACTTTATTATCTGAAATAAGACAGTGGAAACTCAGAGATAATCTATAGATTGTATGGCTGATAAAAATTAGGATCTTAGGGCTGTAACTCAGTGGCAGAGCGCTTACCTAGCCTGTGTGAGGCCCTGCATTCGATCTTTAGCACCACATAACAAAATAAAGGCATTATGTCCATGTACAACTTGGGATCTAAGCTCACCTTCCAATTCCAAATCCAATTAGTTATCTTATACTATTTCACAGCTACACTGATTTTTAAAAATATTTTTTAGTTGTAGATGGATACAATATCTTTATTTTACTTTTAAAATTTTTATGTGGTGCTGAAGATCAAACCCAGTGCCTCATACATGCTAGGCAAGTGCTCTACCACTGAGGTACAACTCCAGTCCTGATGTTTTGTTTTTAATGGACTTCATTTACTTGCACAGAAATAACCACAAAAATCACTAGGGAAAAGTGAAAGGAGCTGATACCAATGTGGGAACTGAAGGCATCAAAGTTAAGCCAGATATTCCCATAACTGGGGTGGTTACACACACACACGCGCTCATACGCATGCACAATCACCAAATACTTCAGGGAGCTGTCTTGGGAAGCAATACAGAAGGCAATATTTCTAAGTACCTGTCAAATAACCAAGAGATTTTAGCCACAACAATAGATTATTTTTGGCAGCAGTTGGCTATTAAGATCTGAAGCAAGAGAATAAGTTGACACCAAAATAAATGGAGTCATTTTCATTATTTATTGGTATTCATATTAATTATCTAGAATACTTATTAATTACAACTCATTCTCAAGCATGATATTAATTATTTATGACAACTGCTATTGGCACAATATAAGGTCAACTGTATCCATTTAAAGAAGTCCCAACAATTTTCCTCAGCCGTGGAGATCTAATACCCCCCACTGCCCTCCCTGGCCTCCTCCTTGCAGTCTGCACATACTATGGACTGGTTCTTTAGGGCATCTGGCTGCCCATTGCCAATACCTCCCACCCCTCCTTGGGGTTTTAGTGCCCTCATTTCTATTTTCGTGGCCTATGGATTACTATTTCTGGTTGGATGTCCCCCAACAGGAGAGGGAGCCAGTGATAACCCTTGCTCTGAAGTGTACCACGGCCCCCATGCCAATTCTGAAGTGGAGGTGAAATCGGTGGTAGATTTCATTCAAAAGCATGGAAATTTCAGATGCTTCATCGACCTGCACAGCTACTCACAGCTGCTGATGTATCCCTATGGATACACTGTCAAGAAGGCCCCAGATGCTGAGGAGCTGGTGAGTGACAGCGGCTTTCCACCCAGCCCTGGGCCTGCTTGACCCTTTGGGTGCTGCCAAGGTGTCTGATCTACAGCTTCAGAGGAAAGTCCAGGAGCCTGGGTGGTTTCATTAAGAGCTTAGACTTCTCTCCTGCCCTGTGGAGTGTACCATCAGACCTACTGGGGACAGGAGAACGTGCCTCTTACTTCTAGGCCTGCTGTGAGCTCCAAGAACTGCGCCGGAGTCTGCCTTACCTTCTCACTTGTTTTTCTGACTGGAGGGTGTCATACCCACTGCCTGCCATGCACTGTGGTTGCCACTATGGTGTGCAAGGGGGGAGAGGCCCCTCACTGTAGTTAATGAAGAAGTGAAGGAGGGTGTAGATCACAGCTAGTGGTGCTCTGTGCCCCCCAGTGATTCACCCTAGAATGGGGGAGGACATTTTGGGATGGAGTGGAGGAGCAGGGCCACACAGCCTTTGGGCTGGTCTGATTGAGCACACCCCTCTGCCCAGGTCATAGCCAGCTCACTAGCCTCCAGGCTGAGGACCCAGGCTCATGGTCAGGCATGAATTATCCCAGGTCCTCTTTATATATGGCAGCCCTGTCTCCACTTCCACTCTAGAGCATCCAGTTCTTCAGGGATTTTCTCTTGAAGCACGCTTGGCATTCTTGTTCCTCAGTACCTTTACTGGTTTCTAACAGGGGCTGAGCAGCTTGCCAGGCCTCTGGAGAGCCTGAATGCAGCTTTCCAGTTTTCCACGCTTTTAGAGTTATTACTGATCTTCTTCCACCTCCATCTTTCTTTACCTCCTTTCCCAGACTGGATGGAAGAATTGGGGATGTGGTGGAGAAGGATTGGGGGAATCCGGTCTCTTCCCTCAGTTGATGGTCCAATCTTGGGTCTAGTTAAGTTACAAAGAAGAGACCGGAATGGGAGATTGGGGGAGGGCCGAGACTCTTCCAGACCATCCAGTGCAGGACAGCTGGGCAATCGTGGGCCTCAGGATTCACTCTTCTTCACTTTGCTGATTCCTTTCCCAGGACGACGTGGCGAGGCATGCCGCTGCAGCTCTGGCTTCCCTTTCGGGCACTAAGTACCAAGTGGGCCCAACCTGCACCACCGTGTGTGAGTACTGGCTGTGTGGATGAGTTGTTCCGAAAGTGCTCTGAGAGGAACTGGGAATGGAGTGGCGGGAGCTGCCAGTGGGCCTGCCTGTGTGGCCGACTGTTTTTGTGGTTAGAGATAGAATGACTTGCTGTCAAGCCCGTGTGATGGTGGTTGTGGGCAGTTGCCTTCAACATGCTCAGCTATTTTTATCATGTGCCCTTGATGAGTTAGGTCCTGTTGGCTGATAGAATCTGCATTCCTCATCTTCACACAGTTGGCCAAAAATTCTTCAAGTCCATCTGTCCATTTTCAAATGAAACCCACCTTTACGTGGGCAGACTGATGGTGGTCCTGATAGTGGTGTGGGGGAGACCCCCTCACCTTATTTGAAATGATCTATAGGTGGTCCTCCCAACAATGCTTAGCATCTAGCCAAAACAAAATAAAACAAACAAATAAACAGCAACAACAACAACAGAAAAACCTATTGAGGCCCCAAACCTGGTGTTGAGGTTCATTATCTACAGCCTCATTTTGAAGAAATACCCTTGTCTGGTTTCTGTTAAAATGTTTCCTGTGGGCAATACATTCAACAACTCCTGTTGAGAATCTACCTGTTCCCTTTTTCTGTGAGTCTGTTTTCAAATGTTCCTGTTGAAAAAAAATCATAGTCTAAGATCCCAGCTGCAAATGGAAAACATAAATGTGAACATAAATAGGGGAAGCACAACTCTAATCCCTTCGAAGGTAGTGTCCCCTTAGTTCCCTCTAGTGCCTTCTCTGTATATAGTGTTCTAACCGTTGGTGCCCTTCAGAGCACCTAAACACTTGCTGGTATATTTGTTTTCCTCTTTGGGTGTGGAATTCACTGTTCCACCTTACCCAATCCACTCGCCTGGCTTCCCTTCGGAACTCCTTTTCTGCGAAGTGCTCCATCCTTCCCCCAGGCCCTCCTCTGGACTGCCATCTAAGCACCCTAGTCTCTATTTCATATGCCACAAGCAGCATGAAGCAGTTAGCAGGAGGCTGGTATTTATGTTGCTAATTGCAGCAACAATCCATTAATTATTCATGGTTTATTGTTATTAGTGTTGTTAAATGGGAACTCTTCAGAGTACACATCTGGGAGACTTTCTTCACCCTCTGCTTAATTAGTCAGAACTGAGCCAGGGACTAAAGAGACTTACAGGAGATTTGCTAGCAGCCTGCTGAAGAGGTCTTCTCAAAAGAGCTTCGTAGGTCAACAGGGTTCTGGTTTTTGAGTCAGACACCGTTTTAAATTATGGCCTTGTCCTCCCACATCAAACACAAACTTTTCCCCAGCTTGAGCAGTGCCCGGGCCTAGGGAGATTTACCAGATGCCTCCAACAGAAGAGGAGGAAGGTTCTCCTGAGCATCTCCAGGAGCCGTAACATTTCCTACCTCTTTCAAGAGCCCATCTTCTGTGTTCTTCGTGGGCTTTCTCTGCCCTCCTTGCTTTCCAAAAAGCAATCAATTTTTGTATAATAACACTCTAACCCCAAGGGTTCTAGCATGTACTACATAAACAGTTGGTGTTAATTTCTTCAAGTGCCAGACCTTTTCTTAGATTAACCATTTTAAATAAAAATAATTCTAAAATCGACTTCATACTTTCCTGCCTACTTAAACTAAGCATGTGGAAGAGACCTAAGCCCCTTTCTTCATGATTGAATGGTTTCCTGAACATTAGTTCTTATGATCTAATGTGCCATATTGGGATGTAGAATCCCTCGATAGTTTGCCCCTGCCTGTTTGGCTTGCCTAATTCTTTCTTTCTTTTTTTCATAGTTGTAGATGGACAGCATGCCTTTATTTGTTTAGTTTTTCATGTGATGCTAAGGATTGAACCTAGTGCCTCACACATGCTAGGAAAGCGCTCTGCCTCTGAGCTACAGCCCCAGCCTGGCTTGTCTAATTCTTGCCTGTGCTTTTTAGAGTTTTTAGTCTCCTTCCTCCTCTCTGGCTTGCACTGCTTTCTGGCCAACTGCCTCCAACAGTCCTTTTCTTCACTTCTTCTGATCTACTAAGGGCTTAAAAACAAGTTTTTTGGGTTCATCTGATTCATGGGAAATTCATAGGTGTTAAGGATGTTTATGACAGCATTACTTACTATCACAAATTGCTAGAAAACATCTCAAATGTCCATCAGGAGCATGCTGGATTAAAAACACATTTGGTATATCCATATGATGAAATACTATGCTGCCTTAAATGGCTCTATGTGTGTTATTAGGGAATAATCTTTAATTATTAATTGAAAACTGCAATGTTAATAGTAGGTTCCCGTGTGTGTCAGGAAAAAAATGAGAGATTAGCTGAATGTTGAGCAGGGAATAAAGTGAAGCTTGTGAATTTGATCACTTTGACCTCTGAGCCCATGCTGTTCTGCCTCCTTCCAAAGTCTTAAATGTGCTATGAAATACTTGAGCTTTCCATATAAAGAACCCTTAGAAGCTTCTGGTACCATCATCTATTTTTGCTGAAGCATTTTCTCAGGGTAGAAAATCCATGGGAAACACGGAAGGATTTCTGAGAGCAGAGCGGAGCCTGTTCATACCCTTAGGGAACGTGTCTTGTCAGTGCGGGCAGTGTCTCTAGAAACATTGCACATACCATACCACCATGAGAAACAACTCACAGAAATAACAGGAAGGTAAAAGAACCATATTTTCTTTCTGTTTCTTTTTTTTTTTCCGGTACTAGGGATTGAATTCAGGGGCACTTGACCCCTGAGCCACATCCCCACCCCTTTTTTGTATTTTATTTAGATACAGGGTATCACTAAGTTGTTTAGTACCTTGCTTTTGCTGAGGCTGTCTCTGAACTTGTGATTCTCCTGCCTCAGCCTCCAAAGCTGCTAGGATTACAGGTGTGCGCCACCAAGCCCAGCCCATATTTTCATTTATCAGACGTGTTAATAAAGCAGATGAACCTCAAGTAGGTTGAAGAAAGCATGGGCTTTATCATCAGATGGACCTGGGCTTAAATTCCAGAGCTGCCATTTTGCATCTGTACTTTCTTAGATGAATTACCCTGAGTCTGGATTCCCTCATCTGTAAAACAAGGACAGTAATACCTACCTCACTGGTTTTGGAAGATTGCAAGATCATAACTGTCAAGTTTCCAACATAATGACTGGCTCATGCTGAATAGATAATAGCTGCTATTGACATCATTATTTTATTATTCAAGATCATTTCTCTTTTGGACTTTTAGCTGATTTCTGCTCTGGTACAGTTTGGGAAGAAGCAGAAAAATAGGCCTCCTGTCTCTCTCAAGCCTTTTGGCAAAGGGAAACCCTAAGGAATGTGCTTCCTCTTTGCATATCAGTTATCTCTTGCTGTATTAAAAAAAACCATAAAACTTAGCAGCTTAACACAATAAACATTTATTTTCTTACACTGTTTCTATGGGTCAGGAATTCAAGAATAGCTTAGCTGGGTGGTTCTGGCTCAGGGTCTTAGATGGGTCAAGATATCTTCCTGGGCAGCAGTTAACTAGTCTTGATAAGGCTGGAGGATCTGCTTATAGGGTGATTCACTTGGGTGCCTGGTGAGTTAGTGCTGAGTATTGCTAGGAGTTTGCAGTTCTTTACCACAGTAAGCTCTTGATCAGGCTTGTTACATTATAGCTCTGGCTTCCCCCAGAGAAAGGGACCCAAGAGAGGACAAGGACAAGCTGCAGTATCTTTCATGACAGCTTTGTTTTTGCAATATCCTGTTAGTGACACAAGTGAAGCCAGCCCTATTCTGTGTAGGAGAGAGGACACAATTCTAGGAGACCAGGGTTGTTAGGGCTCCCTTGGATGCTGCTGACTCCACCCATCTCTGTAAGGACTGGTTTTGAGTGACCTGCAGTGCTGGACACAGTGAGTTAGTGACAGGGTGGGTGTAAGGATTTCCTATCTCTTGATTTGAAATCATTGTAGAACCTCATGATACAGGACATCCTAAGATCTATGGATGGAGCCAGAGTTTATGTGTCAGAGGCCTGATGACTTGCAGAAAGAACTCTGGGTCCCTAAAGAACTCTAGGCAGGCAGAACTCCTGGCCCTCTCCTCTGGAATCCTAAAGGAAACTGGGTTTCACTAGTGTTTGTTCTTTGGACTTACAGATCCAGCTAGTGGGAGCAGCATCGACTGGGCATATGACAATGGCATCAAGTATGCATTCACATTTGAGTTGAGAGATACAGGACATTATGGCTTCCTTCTTCCGGCCAACCAGATCATCCCCACCGCAGAGGAGACCTGGCTGGGGCTGAAGACCATCATGGAGCACGTGCGGGACAACCTCTACTAGACAAGGAGCCCCCTCTGTCTACATTTATTTGTCCCATAAGCACACCAACTGAGGCCACTCTTAAAGAGCTCATTCCTTCATGCGTGAGTCAGAGCGCTCTGGCTTGGTAGAGAACACAGGCCAGCCCTCTGCAGCCCCGCTCCCTGGAATTCACGCATCCTGGCGGTGCACCTGTGAGAAGCACTTCCACGAACCTGCTGTGCATGGGCCTGCTGTTTGGTTGAGCCTTTGGTGTACCTTCCTTCCACACTGCAGATTGATCAGGTCACACACAGGATAGCATATCTCTACCTCATTTTTAGAGCCAAAGAACATCCCTAAACCAGGACCTGACTCTGGTGGGTGTCCCACAGGAGTGCTGCAGGAAATAATGCTTGTTTACATATAGCTTCCTTGAATTTCTCTCACTCCTTCTAGAACATTCTCTTCTTCTTCTTCTTCTTTATTTTTGAGATAAAGTTTTGCTATGTTGCCTAGGCTGGCCTTAAGCTTCTAGGCACAAATGATTGTCCTGCCTTAGCCTCATGAGTAACTGGGACTCACCACCAAGCCCAGCTTAGGAACGTATCTTTCTTTGAGCAACAAATCCTGTGGGTTTGACCCCTCCCCCTTATTTGGCCAGAATACAAAGCAGAGACTCTCTTCCCGTCACTAGGCTAAGAATTTCCAGATACTGCAGTTCTTATCACTTTCTTCCCTTTATTACTCAGTGTAACTGGGATCCCAGAAGGGGATCAGTGTCACTGTAGGTGCCACTCACCCAGGATTATGGATAAAGTGGCAGACTAAATTGCAGGATTGCTCAATTATCCCCATCTGTCCTAACGGACTCATCTCCACTTTGCCTTTTGAACTTACTTCAAAGATCTTGCCCTCAGCCCTCACGTCCTAAATCATTCCTCTGGTCTGGATCATCTCACGGCCTCAGTGTATTCCTGTTTGTGCTCTGGTGTACCCTGTGTTTCTTTCTCCTGTTTTCTTTTACTTTGAGGCTTTAAAGTTGCCTTCTTCTGTTGTGGATGCTAGACCACAAGTACCTACGTGGAACAAGAATTTATCAGTCAGATGCCTCTTGTTCCATCTCCTCAGCACGTACCATCTGTCCTTTTTTTTGTTTTGTTTTGTTTATGTTTTTGCTATTTTCAAACATGTCTGTAAATCTCAACCTTCTGCCTAGGATTTGTGCAGCATCTGGTGTGTGCTCATAAGCCAATAAATATTCAATATGAGTCTCATGATCATCCCCTATTCTTTGCCTTCACCTGAATGGAACCGAGCCACAGTTTTGAATATGCAGCCCTTTATAATGTCAAACGTCAATTTTAATCCCTGTCCGTATCGCATGACATGTAGGAAAGCCTCCTTCATCAGGCCGAGGGGCCTCCAGGGCAATGTTACCTTGGTGATTTCACTCAGGTCTGGGGCTAGTTCTTAGTTTTTCAGCCCAGAAGCTTGATATTCTCAGTGTCTGTGTTGATTAGACCCGGGGATGCTGACTCACGCCTTCGGAGCCCAGATGAGGCAGATGATAAAATCAGAATACGAATTTATTAATTTACATCATGGCATGTAACTGTTTAATGGATTGGATCCTCACGTCGGCCTGAACAGTACATTCTCAGTACATTCTCTCCCTGTAGGCAAGATACATGGGAAGCCAAATGATAATCAGAAGGTTGCTTAGTGAGCGGGCGTCAGAGCAAGGAAAGTTAATTACAGTCTATGATTAGAATTTTTAATGGCATCCAGCTCTAATAGCATGATATATCTAATTCTATAACCAGAACACACCTGCCAGCCAGCCAGCTGGTCACTTGTGCTTGCTAGTCAGGGCTCTTTCAAATGGGACGGTGTCTTGGGAGGCACGAAAGTGCTTGCTTCTGTAATCTGCCTATAACCCGGTTCCATTTGTGACCCTCCGCCCTTAGATTGAGATTGTCCTTCAGAATATTTAAAGGAAATACTTCTTAAATAAGACATAAAAAGCCATAAAAAGAAAAGGAATAATATGTGTGACTATAATATAATCAAGGTGAGTAAAAGACACGGAACCCAAGGTGAAAATACAAGTTAAAATGTGCGAGAAGATATCCACAATTTTCAGAATACACACAGCAAAGAGTGAATGACAAACTAAAAAATCAATAAGGAAAGCACAAATAACCCAATAAAAAAGGGGGGGTAAAATAGGGCTGGGGATGTGGCTCAAGTGGTAGCGCGCTCGCCTGGCATGGGTGTCGCCTGGGTTCGATCCTCAGCACCACGTACATTTTTTTTAGTTTTGTCTGCCGAAAACTAAAAAAAAAATAAATATTAAAAAAATTATCTCGCAGATGCATGTGATGAACATAGGAATGTATGATTAGCGGTTGAAGACATGAAGAATTTAAGACTACAGTGAGATGCCATTTTATACTCATTTAATTTATAAGAATTAAAAAGTTGGAAAGGACGTATTATCAGTGGGCATGTGAATTAGTATAACACCATCTTCTAAAGTTTATACCTTATGATCTGGCTATTTCCACCACAGAAATAAACCCAAGAAACACTGTTCATCATAGTGAAGACCCAGAAATAATTCAGAAGACCATCCATGGGAGAATGGGTGAATAAAGTGTGGTATATTCATCTATTAAATATTATATGTCAGTCAAAACAAAATGTAATGGATTTCCTTTCTAGAAAATTCCAAACAATTGAACACACACATAAACACACACACATACACACACAGAGAGTTTTAAGACTAAATACATATTTTGATTAAACTATATAAAAGGGTGGGCGAGACAACATGGACATGCCCAGGCTGCCTCTTCTGGTCCAGTGCACTGATTCCCAGGTACTGTGAGTTGGCTGCCAACCGTCCAAGGCTGCATCCCTTTCTACAGAACTGCTCTTGGCCAAATGGGGGCTGCCCTACTTAGAAGGCTATGTACCTGTTTTCCCATATCCTACCTCCCCAATGTCAGCCTTTGACTAGCTGACTCAAGGGTTCAGATGGCTAGTTTTTTGCCCTGAGATGGGGTCAGCACTTGGGTACCAGCTGATCCAGGCAAATTGTCTGTGCTTTACATTTTCTTCCTGTCTCACCCTGTTTCTCTGGCTCCCCTCTCCTGAGACCACCCTCTCAGCATATCACTTGCACAAGTGTCTCACTTGAGGCTCTACTTCTGGGGAGAAGACTAAAGACAACAGGGAACAAAGCACCTGGAATTCCCAAGATACAGGGCCCTGTGGTCCAATGAAGGACCCTAGATTTTGTTTTAGGTTCTATTTTTTTCAGATGTTTATTATATAATTTTTGAAAAAAACTAATAGGTAAATAATTATAAGAGGGCCATATATGAATCAAAGATGAGTGTGCCACAAAACAAAGGTTATGATTAATCAATTTTTTTGAACTTGAATCCAATTTTCAAAATTTGGATAAAGTTATATAATGTAACACAAAAGTTTTACTATTCAACATGAATTTATTGAGTACCCACTATGCGCTGGGGACAGTTTGAGATGCTGGCATTGCAATGGCAAAAAGGACAAAAATTGCTGGGTGTGGTGGCACATCCCTGTGATCTTTGTGAGTCAGGTAGACCAAGGCAGGAGGATTGCAAGTTCAAAGCCAGCCTCAGCAATTTGGCAAAGCACTTAGCAACTCAGCGAGTTTTTATTTAAATAAAATATTTAAAAGGGCTGAGGATGTGTCTCAGTGGTTAAGCATCCCTAAGTTCAATCCCCAGTACCCCTCCCCCCAAAAAAAGACAAAAATCCCTTCTTGTACGGAATCTCATTGTAGTTGGAGAGACAGGAAACCCTCAAATAAACAACCAAGTGAAAAAGTCAATTTGGGTAAATGAGAGCTGCTATAAAAATAAGAGAAGATAGGCTACTGTAAGGAGACCGAAGGGGGTGCTGGGTCTTTTTAGACTGAAAAAACTAGAGGAGATGGCATTTGCCAATGTATTATAAATTATTCTCAACTTTATTCTTTGTATTCTTTGTATAATTCCCCAAACCATATGAACAAGGTGGGATAGCTTTTATTATCCACATTTTATGGATGGAAAAATCTCTAGAGCAACATGATTTTTTTCCCTCAAATGAATAATTAATATGCTCTATTCTGTACACGAAGACCCCACTGACAAAGAGAAAATCTGAGCTATAAACCTTCACAGACACAACTTCAACTTCTGAAACATATTTAAGTCTGAAATGCTTCTCCGTATCTGAACAAATCAGTCTCCATGGGATTTTCCACCAATGAGAATGGAAAAGGGATAATTCATCAATAATAGGAAATTTTTTTTTTTGTAGCACTAGGGAAGAGGTTCTCTAAGCCAATTCTTATTCCTGGTCTTGTTGGAGACCAAAAAAAGTCCTTTGTGAAGACTTTGACAGGGAGAGGAAACAGACTGTGGTGTGGATGGGATTAGCTGCCATTCATGCAATGCCTACTTGAAATCAGAGGCATTTACTGAACTGCAGCCACCAAGGCACTAACAAGCAGACCCACTCAATTTCCTTGGGTACACCCACTTCTGTCCTCAGTGTTACAGATGGTGGGGCGTAGCAAAATGACTCGATCCTTTCATTTAGCTTGTGCTATGATGTTATCTTCGGGAGCCTTAGTTTCCCCTCTGTGTGTGTGTGTGTGTGTGTGTGTGTTTGTGTGTGTGGTTCTAGGAATGGAATTCAAGGCCAAGCGCTCTACCCCTGAGTTATAACCCCAGCCTTTCCTATGTTTGCAATGAGAATAATACTGTCATGATTTATCAAGAGAATTAAGTGAGCTACTATATAAAAGTACTCAGTACCACTTCTGGCAATAGAAGTGCTGAGGGGGTTGTGGTTATGGTTTAGTGATAGAGCACTGGTCTAGCACATGTGAGGCACTGGGTTTGATCCTCAGCACCACATATAAATGAATGAATAAAATAAATATATTGTGTCCATCTACAACTAAAAAAATATTTTTTTAAAAAGAAAGTGCTGAGGATGTTAGACTTTTTCTTCCCTCTGAGTGGTGGGTATTCATTTATGAATCAGATCACTGTAATTTTTCTAAGTGGGAGACTTATAACAAAGATCTCAATAGTTTATCCAAAAACTCAGATTGGAAGTTAAGTTCTTTTTACTGTGATTTGCATTTTGAAACATTAGGTTCTTTGGAGGCTTTCCTATGTCACATGCCCATATTAGAGTAAAACAAAGGACACTGCCTGAAACCTTCATAGGTCCTTCCAAGCAGAGCCTGTCAAGCATATGGGGTCATCTCTGAATTTCACAGGTCCTGGGAAGGCCTTGCTATAAATCTATTTTGGATGAAGTTGGGGGTATATTCCAACTCTGGAATGTCATATGTAGATTGCACTTCTTTTATGTTCTATATAACGGCCAACTATGCAGAATCACTTTTATCATTATCATCATCATCCTTATCTTTCTGTTTGATGAATTCTGGAATTTTGCCAAACCAGGCAGCTTGTAAAATAAATTCTTTCTGCTATTTGTATTGAGCCTTAAATCATGAACACCAGCTGTTTCTTGTATTTGAAGTAAAGCTCCAGGTGTATTGGGGGCATCTAGGGAGCACAGGCTGTTTTTCCCTCCTTTAGAATATATAGGCAGTGTGGTGCAGCTGGGCAATTTGCTCTTTTAATGCAGAAAGTGAATCTTATGCTTTTTTTTTTTTTATCTCCTACAAGGCCAAGCTCAACAGCTAGTAAATATTTGTAGATTTGATTTGCCTTAGGCAGCCAGTTAACAATCACGTAAACCATACTCTCAACAAGTTAGGGCAACAGGAAAAGAGTACTTTTTCCAGCAAATATGATAAGTGGAAGTCTGGAAAATGGATTGGAATGCATGTCCCTCAGTTCTAAGAGAGCAGAGCATAAATTAAACATTCAGAGATAAGGAAGGCTTGATATTGGTTAAGTGGCTTTCAATTTTGTCATGATTTATAGTTTTAAAATGCTTTATAGATATTGGATAATTAAATTATCACAACCACCTGGTGCTCTATGCAAGCTGGGCATTATTATGCCTATTTTAACTGTTGAGGCGATGAAGTCTTAAAGAGGCATCGTGATGTGCCCTACTTACATGGATGAGAAGAACGAAACCCTGTCTTTAGACCAATCCCATATTATTGCTGACAAAGCAAAGAGGAAGGCAGTATGTCCTTGGCTTTGTTTTTGAATTTGAATACCTTTAAA